TTGGGCAAACTCCCATGAACCCTCCGCCACTCTGAAGAGGGTATAGAGCTGGTCCAGTGTTCCATGGCCAGGACGAAAACTGCATTGTTCCTCCTGAATCCGAGGTTCGACTATCGGTCGAATTCTCCTCTCCAGTACCCTGGCATAGACTTTCCCGGGGAGGCTGAGGAGTGTGATCCCCCTATAGTTGGAACACACCCTCCGGTCCCCCTTCTTAAAAAGAGGGACCACCACCCCGGTCTGCCAGTCCAGAGGCACTGTCCCCGACCGCCATGCGACGTTGCAGAGGCGTGTCAACCAAATCAGCCCAACAACATCCAGAGACTTAAGGTACTCAGGGCGGATGGAAGGAAGATGAATGAGGGAATGACAGGGATGTAGGAGAGGTAGAAAGCAAGGTAGACAATAAAAACAATTAGATGAGCAACCATACTGGCAACCATAGGATGATACTTAAAGATACTCCACCTAATTTCTTTTCAGCCACTAGAGGGTCTAGTGAGACTCAAACTCACACCACACCACTTTGCTGCCCCTCCCATCATGAAGCTATGACATTACAGTACTTAGGAATGCTTGGCTGCAAGAAACTGTGAAAAATGCAGCCACAAGTCCAAAATATGCATTAGTAATTGAGTAATCTTGGCAATCCAACAGAATACTGTGGTTACTGATAATGTCACACAAAGCATTAATATTACCCAAAGATCAAATTATTCCCAAATTAAAATCACATTAATTCAATACAAAGATAAAATCATGGTCATGCTAAGTTGCTACTGTTACCAAAATAATCACATTAGCTTCAGATGTTAATGCAGCTGCGAGAAAGAATGCTACATCTGAACCAAATGTGAGTCCTTTGGCTGCTTTTAACACTGTCAGAACCTCAAAAAGCCAAACCGATGTTAACCCTGGTTTTTGCTCTTTCTTTGCCTCACTCTCTCTGAGCAAAACCATTACTTTGCTCTGGCAGCCACTGTTTCTGACTTTCAGCAGACAAGAGTTTCTCCATGACGGACTATTTGAAATAACTACTCAGGTTCAAAACATTGGTTTTATATCCTTCACTAGATGGCAGACTAGGGCTAATTTATGGATCGCACTTTGAAAACACCGAGTAGAGAAACTGGAATAACAACAGAAAAGCTGTAGATGGCAGTTTTACGTGATTTATCAGGCAATATGTAAAATCTAAGTTAATGCATCTTTAAAAATTGATAACAACAACAACATTACTTTGTTGTAGAGTGTGCAACTTTAAAGTTTTATTTAATCAAAAACTGGCCATCTGACTATGGCAACTGCTTCAGACACATTTTTAGTAATGGAAGAAGTAGTCAGAGACTTAAAAGTAAATATCATAGGGTAAACATACTCTATTAGATATTATAACCAGATAGATAGAATACAATTCAAGTACCAGAAAGCAAAACGTACTGAAACTTGGTTTTGTCATATATGTATGTATATGATTTTTTTTTTTTTTTTTTTTTTTAAAGAAGTAAAATCTTGCCAAACCGGATTTACCAGAACAACTGCTATTTATGTGATGATGTGTGCAGCAGTGGTAATAGGAGATAGCAGGATGGATTCCTCTGGACAGGTAGGCTAAGATATGCAGCCTGGCACGTTTTGCGTGTACCAGAAGCCTTTACTAATTCATTTTTTTCTGTTTCTATCTCAAACTAACACGTATTAATATGACTGTACACACCTAATAAAGTTTTAGGGTTTATTTACCACACTCGTAACATGAAGTGATTCACCTGCTAAAGCGTGGATAACAAGGATAACGTCACAGTTCATAGGTTGGAGTAGAGCGGAAGTGGTTGGCTGTTCCTGCTACTGCATGAAGTGCAGGCAGCTTCCAACAAGCTAACAGGCTGTGTTTTGGTTGTTTGCTACCGGAGAAGAAAAATATGAAAACGAATGAAATGTGTGAAAGATGAAACCGGCAAATCAAATGCATTTCCCCGGCGTCGCCTCTGAAGAGGATACGCTAGCTTAAAGAAACCCGGAAGTGTTGAAGGTATTAGCTTGTGTCGGTAACGTTATCTTGCTGGTTGGGCTGAGAAAGCAAAGCCAAGCCAGTGATGAAATAGGACGATAAAAGTAATAGAATCATAAGATAACAGATTGTTGGGATTAACACTTGTCTTTGTAGGCTTATTCTATGCTAGCTAACGAATACACATCTTCTATGTCAGCTAAAATGTTAGCAACCGGCTAATGTCATATTCTTTGACATGTAACGTTAAGTGTTAGATTTTCGTATCACCTAACTACTTAAAAGCTAAAACTTGCTGAACGTGTACATGAATGCAGTGCAGCGATTTGGCGTCTTGATCTGAATTAATTTGTTCTAGTTAAGACATCGCAGAGCACAGATGTTTAGCTAGTTGTTTTTTTCTTTTAGCTAATTAATTTCCAGTTGCTTCAATGTGGAAAAATAAGAGACAAACACCATCCTTATGATTTTCTTGTTGGAGTAAAATTGTTATTTACACAACCGTGTTACCGATACTATGATTCATTTATTTCTATAGTCTGTGAAGAAAAACTGTATCAGAACATTTTCATAAGACAGTCCACAACCAATGTTGCAATAACAAAGTAGTTGCAGTCCAAAATGACCATATGAGTGGACGCAAACAAATAACAAAAACGGACCATTAATATCTAAGGTAGCTCTTAGAGATTTTCAGTTTCCATTATATGAAATTAATTATATTCTTTTCTTCTTTATAACATGAGAGTAGCCTATAGTGAGTGTGAGAATTCAGACTGGACAGTACAGCAGTAAATGCAGCACCAGACATATTTTCATTTTAGTGACCTTTCTTCTTTTATAGAGTTTTTTTTTTGTAATAACATTATGCCATCTGAGCAAGTAGTGTATTCACGGTAGGCATATCATGAAATGAAGTGACCGCAGTTAGCTGAGGAGGAAGGCAGAGGTGAGGGAGATGATGGCCACACAGTGCCACAGCTGGCTGCTCAGCCTGCTCAGCACACTTTAGTAACATATGCTCTGTGGCTAAGATGACATAACCCGATTTAATCCCTCAGACTTCTCAGCTATTTAAAACTGGCTTGGGTTTACTTAAGGCTTTAATGTTGAAATCTGTTTGACTTTCAGCTGCGCATTGTTGCTTGGAACACTGCAAATGTTGCCAGACTTCTTACTTTCCAGTTGTCCTGTGTTTGTGCACCTTGATGATGTGTGGGACAGGTCATTGTATTTAGGCTATCAAAATGATATTATTATGGCTCATATCTATTGGAAAATAATGCAAAGAGGAATACACCTATTTTGTAAATGAAAGATTTTAGTTTTTGATTTTTTTAATAACTTTCCAAAAAATAAAATAAACCACCATGTTTACACTATTCTAATTGTGGGTTAATGTAGACTGATAGAAAAACATGACAGTTTGATCCACTTAAACCTAACAAGATAAGAAAACTGAAGGGGTGTATACAGGTTACAATTATGCATGGGTTATGATAGTAATACAAAACAAGAACAACAGAGAATAACTGCAATAATGTCTAACAATGAAAAGCATAATTGTACCTCAAAGTATAATTGTTTGAAATAACATGTAACAGATTATAAATGTTTGAAATTTCTTAACTAAGGCTTCTGTGGAATACATGAACTCCACTGTATCATTATGTAGTAATACAGTCTGAGCAAGTGAGCATAAATACAGATACTCTATGTGCAGTAAAGGTATGTGAAAGCATCTCAAACTTTCTGACAATACCTCCTGTGTTACAGTGATGGTTTTTACAAAAACTGACTGGTATTATTGCAGACATGTTTACAGGTATACTATACCTCATTGCATGACAATGAGAGTGAGAATTTGCTATTCAAATAACACAGAGTGACTTCACCTGATTATCTGAGCAAGTCTTCCTTCTAGTGACACTGTCGCTGTTGTTACTTCTTCTGTCGCCATAAAAATGGGTGTGAGTATGACCAGTATCTTGCAGCTTTTAGTGAAGTTTGTCCAATCCATCTTCATTTGTTAGGTTTAACCACTTCATTATATCAGGTTAGTTAGATAATGCTTAAGGTCTGTCAATCTACATTGCTAATGTAATGTCTTTTTGAGCTCTTGCTCCTTGTTCCTATCAGTGATCTAGGCTGTGCTTGATGTCTGAACAGGAGAAAATTCTGTCCTATGTGATCATTGTCTAACACTCTCTTTATGTCCCCACAGGACCCTGCAGCCACAGACACAGACACAATGAGTGCCAAGTATGGCCTGGTGGGCTACAACAGTTCACGGAAGCACATTTCAATCTCCATCCCGTCATCCACAGAGGTGATGTCGCCACACATAAAGTCTGTTGAAGAGCTGAGGGTCCTGGGAATCAATCTGAGCAACTTCAGTGCCCCTACACAGTTCTTCATCTGTGTGGCTGGAGTCTTCCTCTTTTACCTCATCTATGGGTACCTGCAGGTAACACGGGAAGAAACAAGTGCAAACTGAGAGATACTGTCAAGTGCACACACACACACAGGCATAGGGTAAAATACAGTCAGCTGAAGTTTGTTACAGTGAAAGGATTGTGCTGTTGCCAAGGCTAGATGACAAAAGTTCCTATACTTCTTCTCCAGTGTTTACATCTGTTGTTTCATAAGGCAGCTACTGTATGTTCCAGTTTTTGTATTTGGAAAAAAAAAACTGGTACAAATGGTGTATAAGACAGCACAGTTGGCATATGACACTGTCAGCACTGCAATTCTTTATTTGACCCTCCATGCAGGAGCTGATATTTTCAGTGGAAGGATTCAAACCTTTTGGTTGGTACCTCACTCTGGTCCAGTTTGGCTTCTACTCCGTCTTTGGACTAGTGGAGCTACAGCTGACTCAGGACAAGCGCAGAAGGTACAGCTAACAAAATAATCTTGCTCTCACAAAAAAACTTCTCAAAGGTGCATACACTTTTTTAAGTATTAGCAAGGGTGGAAACAGCTTTATTTGTAAATTCTATTGAAGCAACATTTATTACCTTTTTCATTATGTCTTTTAGGATACCAGGGAAGACATATATGATCATAGCATTTCTAACAGTGGGAACCATGGGCCTGTCCAATACCTCTCTGGGTTACTTGAACTACCCTACACAGGTCATTTTCAAGTGCTGTAAACTCATCCCTGTCATGATTGGAGGAGTGTTTATACAAAGTAAGCTTATTCTGCTGTCACTGTATTATACACAGACATTACAGATCCAACTACATACATGTGTGTCCTTGTACTGGTGCTTCTGACTTGCTTCTTTATTTCCTTTACTGTACATAATTTTGCTCTTTCATACTAATGATTATATGTGTTACTCTGTGGCTATTAACACTGCAACTGTTCGGCTGTTGTCTTCTGTGTTACAGTATGAAATTATTTGATTTGTGGTTTTATTAGTAGCATTTTAATGCAAGTCCAGTGTGAACTTGATTTAAGAAAACAGTGCTTGAGGGGAAGTCCTCTTCTGATGCAATGTCCAAATGTAGGTTCTTTGTGTTTGTGATGTTGTAAACAGTTTTGAAGTTTTACCAGTACCATGTATTTCACTGTGGATGTTGGCATAATCTGTGAAGATTCTTTCTTGGTTTCCTTTGTAAGGTCATGATTTGATTTAGTGACATTTTAGGAGGATTGCAGATGAAGCATACAAAGTGATTCAGTGCTACATGTTTGTGTCCCAGGTAAACGCTACAATGTGCCTGATGTGTCTGCTGCCGTCTGCATGAGCCTGGGACTCATCTGGTTTACACTAGCTGACAGTAAAGTGGCCCCTAACTTCAACGTCACAGGTGATTCCTTCTAGATCCAACAGCAAACTGCAGAAGTTCCACAACCATTCAGTATTAGTTTGCTTAAGTTTTAGTTTGTACATCCTAAAAAAGTGTGTATATGCATGTTTGTGTGACATACAGGTGTCCTCCTCATCTCCCTGGCACTGTGTGCAGACGCTGCCATTGGAAACATGCAGGAGAAAGCCATGAAACTTCATAATGGCTCCAACTCTGAAATGGTACCTGTGTATGATACAGTCTATGTACACAATAAAATTTCTAAGTCAAGCAAATGTGTGCACATGTAATCCTGCTTCACTGTCAACAAAACCAGACTGTGCCCTGTCTTTTGGCTGTGATGTCACTGACTGGTCATATGGCATTGTGTTGACAGGTGCTGTACTCGTACTCTATTGGTTTTGTGTACATACTGATAGGCCTGCTCTGTGTGGGTGGGCTGAGGCCAGCAGCGGCATTCTGCTCAGAGGTCAGTATAAACTAATACAATATGAATACATAGTGTACCTGTGAGTGAGGAAAACTCCAAATGTCTATGGCACTGGTCAGTACTTATGACACTATGGTCACCTCGGTGTGTCGGCCAGAACACCACTTAAGGCCCATACATTCCCAGAATGAATCAGGTGCTTGAAGTTGCAGTTAACGATCCTTTAATCCAATTTCTCATACAAAGATTACATGTGGGTGTGGTTTTCCTGCAAATAATATAGATACAAATACAATGAATAAGGATTTAAGATATATGCACCTTATAAGCACATTACCGTATGCATAAGTATAATACATATTAACGTAAGGCTGGATGAGCAAAGTATACAGAGATCTGTTATGTGTAAACTAATTCGAAATTAAGTTACCACACATGCTTAAGGAACACATCCTGTATCGGTTACAAACAAACCAAATGCTCTTATTGTAAAGGTCTAACCGGATATACCACTCCCGGTGGAGTCACAACCCCCGTTTAGCGGTATATGTGACAAACCCGTCTTTAGCGTCGTAACATACATGTTTACAGAAACACCATGCAGTTTATAAACACACTGGTAACTTAAACAGTGAAACTGTAAACGCACTATGAACCGTGCACAAGAGAAAACAGATCCTAGGTCGAGCCAAATCATTCAACTAAGAGGCGTACATGAAACGAAAGGAAGTGCATAGCGAGAATAACAAGGTTAGCGACGTGCACTATTAATGAACACTTGACCAGCTATCACATACAACCGTTTCCCCATAAACCCTTAAAGGGCCCATAACTGATAATACTTACATAGTATTAACGCACAACCACATATCTCCATCACTAAGTAGACAAGCACCACTCGACACCCATACTACACCCCAGTGGAAGTGACATCAATAGTTCTACATCATGCTTCAACTTAAAGGGCCCTGACCTAGGAAAGTAACCACTACAGTATAAACTTTGGGCCTTTTTTACAGTACCTATGGTATGAAATGCATCTACATACGGACTCTGTGAATTAAGCATTATATTCATCTTTAATTGTAGAAGGATTACTAAACTTATGTCCAGTTTCATATTTATAAATTAATTAGTTCAAATAAACAACATGTGATAAACTGTATTTCTGCTCTTAGAATTTTCTGGAGTGTGACAGGCTGCTGCTTTTTTATTTAAGCTGTATATCCTTTGACTATAGTTGAATTGTTTACAATAAAAACCTTACAGTTCACAAATGTGTTTACTTTCTTTGAATTTTTGTGTGACATTCTGATGTTCTTGCAGCATCAGGAAGATGGAGTGTGCAGTAATGTTTATCCTCTTTACTCTTCCAGCACCCTGTCAGGACATACGGTTATGCATTCCTCTTCTCTCTTACGGGTTATTTCGGCATTTCCTTTGTTCTGGCCTTGATCAAGCTCTTTGGTGCCCTGGTTGCAGTAACAGGTCAGAACTGTTTGTCTAAATTTATTTCTCTTGACTCTTTGGTAACATGTTTATTTCATGGGTTCTGTATTTTCCAAATATTTTACTGGTAACTTTCCTCATAATTTTCTTAAAATTAGCTTGTACACTGTTAATCACAATTGTATTTCCAAGAAAGGCCTATGCAATTTTGTACTAATTGGGAAATGAAGAGGTTGTTAGTTGCTATAGCTATTAGGTACCTGCTCATCATTTCCAAGGTTTTCTATCAGGTAAGTGAAAAACAAGTTATGAACAGGTGTCAATAGCCATCAGTTTCCTAAACCGACTAATACAAATATCTCATGTATCAGTTATTGTGGGATAAGCTGACTTAGTTTAACTTGGTTTTGGTAGTGCAGATCACTGGTTCACAAAGCGAGTGCTGTAAGAGCAGACAAAGGGTCATACAAGATGTACAGTATTTCCATTTGTTGCCGTATATTTTTAGCTACATTTTATCACGATATGATGCAGATTTTACAATAATGACATTTTGATTAGCTACATTTTCAATTGTATGATAGATGGTAGTATACCTACTTGCTGTTATGCCACAACTAAGACTACTAACAACAGTTTACGACTGCCAGTTGTGATAATAGTCAGTTTTCCAGTACTCAGATTTTTAATGGAGGGATGCCATGAGGTTGAAAAAAAATTGAAACTGTGCTGTTGCAAACCACAGCTGTTGATAGTAAATTGCATCAGAATTCAAAGTGTATTTTAAATAATTATACTGAACAATAACAATATATTTTCCAGCCAAAGAAAAATCTCCAGTTTAGAAAGCTATGTCTTATTTCTTATTTGTAATTAAGGGAAATAAAGCTAATGAACTTGCACTGATAGTACCATGAATGTTTTACTCCTTTACAGTGACCACTGGGAGAAAGGCCATGACTATCATACTTTCTTTCATGTTCTTCACAAAGCCTTTCACTTTTCAGTAAGTATTGTCACCTTTTGACTTTGATCGGTTTTATTTTTCTACAGTGTGACCATTGATCTCTCCTTGGACTAATAAAGCTTGATTTGGATTCCCTGCCCCCAGTTTTCATGTCCTCGGTCCATTTTCAAACCTTGACCTCTCCTTGTCCTTTACTCTCTTGTTCACCCTCTAGCTCCACTGTGCTGTCAAAAGTTTCTCATTTTCTCCTGTTCTGGTTGTTCATCGTGACTTTCACCAAACTCACATACACACAAGATGCAAACATTTTTTGGTTGTCTTAATGGCCAACTTTGTTCACCCTCCAGCTGGTGTGTGCAGTTTTTAACCAAGGAATTTATTGAGTGTGTGTTTATATTTGATTTATATACTTCCATAGGAAAATTGAACATAGTGAAATACAGAGGGGTGACATTTAAACGGAAAACAAATTCAAACCTAAATGAACATAGTCTTATTGGTGCTGGACTGCAGCAACACCTGCATTGCTCTTTGACACAGATCACAAAAATCTGTAGAGTTCTAGTGAAGGACTGTAGCACGATAAGTTATACCCGCATTGAAGGTTTTGATGATGTGCTGCTGACCAACACACCAGCCCCAAATTTTCCGTAGGTGTTTAACTTGGCTGATATCTTGTGACGGTGGAGCTGATGGCATAAATTTACATTTTCATATCCATCAATCCATTTGGTGACCCTTTGTTTATTTTAGTTGTTCCTTTGTCACCTGTCTATATATACATTACATTTCCATGTATCTCTTTAATTTCCTACTAGTAAGATGGTTTTACCAATTTCAAAAAATTGGCATGCCAAACCTAACAATTTCCCATATCTGGTGTACAGCATACTAAAGCTGTATGAAAATAATACATTAACTCCCTGTTTTGAAAACTTCATGCAGTGACATATTCCATTCACAATTACCAGCCCATTTTAAACTATAAGATGACCTGAGCGTCAAGGTAAGTAATGTTATGTTGTAAAGCTGGTGCCCTGTGGAATTTTCTTATGAACACAGTTTGTGTTCACAAAGTGTTTTTCACAAAAACAGTGCTTAGACTTGAAGTTTAACGAACAGACAAGTTGAATAAATTCCCTTCCTCATAAAATATAGTACCACTCCATTTCTGCCATCCCTTAAAAATAGCATTCTTTCCCTCCTCAGGTACATCTGGGGCGGCCTTCTGGTGCTTTTTGGCATCTTTTTGAATGTTTACAGTAAGAACAGAGATAAAATGAAGCTTCCCTCTATCAAGGAACTCAGGAGTCGGCTGCTGTCAAGAAAGAAAGTCAGTTTTCTCTCACAAGATGTATAGGAGACACCCAGTGACACATTGGAAGTCCTGCACAGGCAGATCATATGTCTGCCCATACGTAGAGTTGGCCCCCCTGTCTTGGGGGATATGCTGTGCATATGCCTGAGCTACAGGCCTCATCAGGACCAACAGTCAGCCAAGGATGGATATACAGGGTTTCACCACCAATCACCTTCACAAATGGCTGACATGACTAAAATATGATGAGTGATGGAGTCTCTGCATCCTGTCTCTATGAAATTACTCTTACTTGCAGCAAAGTGAAGGAACTGTTACTATATTGTAAAAGGGATCAGTGGCCAGTGAGCTCTTGTGAAATGGTGCCCCACAGAAACCTATCTAACATGGATCACACCAAGACACTAATGGACAGCCAGCGCCTTAGCTAACCAAATCACAGTTTTGCACTGGAACCTATACCTAAATTATTGAGAAGCCAGACAAAAATGAAACCGTGGAGGAAAGGACGACAGAGAGAAAAGTTAGTGTCCTGTCTGAGATGAATGTATGACCACCACCTTGAAAGAAAAAGATCCATTGGGCTAAAAATAAATACGTGTTCCCATGTATGACAAAGACAAAATAAAAGTTGTTTTACATAATTATTCTTTATAAAAGTGGCTTTTTTCATTGTGACTTGGTAATTTATATCTAACTGTAACCTAAATCATGAAAAATGTGTGATCTTTGTCATTATATGGTGACATTTTGACAAATATGGAGAAATCTGTTCAACTGTACATAAACATTGTCTACTGCAATAATCTGCTAACTGTGTGTTTGGGTGAAACGGTGCCACCTTTTTTACAATAAAACAGGCAGATGTTTCTCTTAAAAGTTCATCCGGTGTTTTCCATCTATGTGTGTGTGTGAGCGAGAGAGAGACTCATCAGCCAGCCCTTATTTTCTCCCTTTGCACAGCTTGAGAGAAGACTTGAAATGTTGCCAAACTGTGTGTGTGTTTATCCATCCAGTGGCCTTAGGCATGTTTGATTAGGAGTTCTGAAAAAAACAGCAGTGCTAGACAGAAAATAAACAGGGGTCTTCACAATGTGAGTGTGGCTGTCCATTCAGATCTATCCTGTGGACTAGTCTTTTCTATGCCACTGTTGTGGCACTCTCGAAGACCTGTTTGAAGGTTGAGACTTGGTTTGAGTGCTCATGTTAGACTTGGATTTAGGTTAGCGTAAAGGATGGGGTTTGGCAAATAGATCTGATGATGAAAATTAGGCAGCTAGGAAATGCGTTACAAAATGTCCTCAGGTTGTGACTGTGTGTGTGTGTGTGTGTGTGTGTGTGTTGTTCACATGAATGCCAGTCTGCATTCTGTTTAAGTTTGTCTAAGTTTTTTTTTTCTCTTCTCTAGTAGTTGAAATGGTTTCCTTGCTGACATTAGTGTTTCTACCAGTGATGGGTTTACATTACTGTGTAATTGCATAGTGGATGTCCAAGTGTTGCTGTCTTTCATATGTACTGTACATTCCTTTCAATGATAGAAATATCATTGTACATCTGCTTATATAGAGAAAATGCAATACAGTGCATAAGTAGTCATTGCCCAAGAGATCTGTGCTTGTCCAGTCCTGTTCACTTGTGGAGCTCTTTTGATTTGGAGCACTATGTGATGATAATAGTGCTGCAATGCTGTAATAGATGCTCTCTAACATTGGATCCAGATAACACTTTTTTTTGTTTGTTTGATAAGACTGTCACTGTATCCGATTACACAGTTATAGATTCATATATTCTTGCCGTGACTTTGGTGAGGGATATGACAGACTACACATTGGTAGCTAACAAATCGCAGCCTGTTGTGAACAAAAGAGCAAGCTGTGCTCCTATTGACCAGTGTCACCCCAACACATCATAGAAGCAGAAAAACTTCTGACATACCAAACTTTGTGAGTACGCTGTATGGGATCCCAGAAACATCATCAAATCATTTATTGTGATCATTTATAAATCACTCAGCACCCGTTTTCAGTCCCCACACCCTACAGCTGTCAGGTTGGGCAATTATCAGGGCTAAATCATGTAGACGGAATGAGGTATAAGAGGGGACTTTAAAATGCTTTTATGTTTTTTAATTTATTTATCAGATATCGGTCCTGCTGTTGGGTTGTTGCCCTCCTATGGCCCTGTCCAGCTCTCCTGGCCCAACGGCCAGTTTCCTAGTAGCTCCTCCATGCTCTTGAGACTGTGCTGAGAGACAGCAAACCTTCTTGCAACTGCAAGTATGAGTGTGCGGACTACCTGTGCAGGCTGATTGGACTGCAGGTACCCCCTCATACTACCAGTAGTGACAAGGACACTAGCAAAACCAAAACTTGAGAAGAATCAGTCAGGAAGGATAAAGAAAGAGCATTTGTCTGTGGCCACCACATGCAGAACCGTGTGGTGGCCACCTCAACCAAGCACCTCAACTGTGAGAGACAGAATCTACAAAAAAATTCCAGTAAATCACATTGTTGGATTTTTAAATAATTTATTTCCATTGTATTGCATGAAATAAGTATTTGATCACCTACCAACCAGCAAGAATTCTGGCTCTCACAAACCTGTTAGTTTGACTTTAAGAAGCCCTCCTATCCTCCACTCATTGCCTGTATTAATTGCACCTGTTTGAACTCGTTACCTGTATAAAAGACACCTGTCCACACACTCAATCTATCAAACTCCAACTTCTCCACTATGGGTAAGACCAAAGAACTGTCTAAGGACACTAGGGGCAAAATTGTAGACCTGCACAAGGCTGGGATGGGCTACAGGACCATAGGCAAACAGCTTGGTGAGAAGGCAACAACTGTTGGTGCAATTATTAGAAAATGGAAGAAATTCAAGATGCCTGTCAATCTCCCTTGGACTGGGGCTCCATGCAAGATCTCGCCTCGTGGAGTATCAATGATCCTGAGAAAGGTGAGGGATCAGCCTAGAACTACACGGGAGGACCTGGTCAATGACCTGAAGAGAGCTGGGACCACAGTCTCAACGGTTACCATTAGTAACACACTACACCGTCATGGCTTAAAATCCTGCAGCGCACGCAAAGTCCCTCTGCTCAAGCCAGCACATGTCCAGGCTCGTCTGAAGTTTGCCAAATACCATATGGATGATCCAGACTCCTCTGGATCATTCAGATGGGAGAAGGTCATGTGGTCAGATGAGTACAATCCCAAGAACACCATCCCAACCGTGAAGCATGGGGGTGGAAACATCATGCTTTGGGGGTGCTTTTCTGAAAAGGGGACAGGACGACTGCACCGTATTGAGGAGAGGATGGTTGGGGCCATGTATCGCGAGATTTTGGGCAACAACCTCCTTCCCTCAGTAAGCATTGAAGATGGGTCGTGGCTGGGTCTTCCAGCATGACTATGACCCCAAACACACAGCCAGGGCAACTAAGGAGTGGCTCCGTAAGAAGCATTTCAAGGTCCTGGAGTGGCCTAGCCAGTCTCCAGACCTTAACCCAACAGAAAATCTATGGAGGGAGCTGAAACTCCGTGTTGCCCAGCGACAGCCCCAAAACCTGAAAGATCTGGAGAAGACCTGTACGGAGGAGTGGGCCAAAATCCCTGCTGCAGTGTGTGCAAACCTGGTCAAGAACTACAGAAAACATCTGACCTCTGTAATTGTAAACAAAAGTTTCGGTACCAAATATTAAGTTCTATTTTTCTATTGTATCAAATACTTATTTCATGCAATAAAATGGAAATAAATTATTTAAAAATCTTAATGTGATTTTCTGGAATTTTTTGTAGATTCTGTCTCTCACAGTTGAGGTGCACCTACGATGAAAATTACAGATCTGTCCATTCTTTGGAAGTGGGAAAACTTGAAAAATTAGCGGTGTATCAAATACTTATTTGCCCCACTGTATATGAATTATTGCAAGTGATTAGAAATGCTGCTTTTTAACCTTGGACCTACAATCCTCCTTGCTGAAGTGTCCTGATGTCCTGTCCATGTACCACTTAATTGGACCTCTCAGTGGAGATAGGCAGGTACTGCAATTAGAGAGTTTTGCTACAGAGGTCAGTAAAATGTTAAATCAAGCATGTCTATTACTATAAATCATAATAAACATTTGAATTAGGCTAGGATTAAATTGAGAACGCATGATGCAGTGGTTAACACTGTTGCCTCAGCAAGAAGGTTCTCGGTTTGAACCTTGCAGCCATTTGGGGTCTTCCTGTTTGAGTCTGCATGTTCTCCCTGTGCCTGCCTGGGTACACCGGGTTCCGCCCGCATTCCAAAAACAGGCAGGTTTGGTTGACTGGCGATTCTAAATTGTCCGACAATGTGAATGTGAGTGTGAATGCTTGTCTGTGATTTTTAGCCCCATAATAGATGGTGATCTGTTTAGATATACCCCACCTCTTGCCCATTGTCAGCTGGGACTGGCTCCAGCCCCTCTTTGACCATCTACGGGATAAGCAGTGTAGATAATGGATGGATATGTTGGGAATGTTTGAGAATACTTTTGTCCTTGATGATCATTTTGGGTCTTCATGTATGTGTGTGTGCTACTGCCATAGCTTGGTGTGAAATGACTAAGACTTGCCAGCTCAGTAGGAGGTAGCTGAGTGTGGCTCTCTCTGTGATCCTAATAGAGGCCCAGATATTACATTCTCACTTCCAAGCAGGAAATCTAAGCCTGGGCCAATTAGTAATTTGGTATTTCATAAAATTTGGCAGCTTGTGTCTGATGACAAACTGACAAGAGATGCTTTCTACTCCAGGGAACCTTTGGCAGTGGAGCAGTACACACATATGCACACTGAGGACTACAAAGTTTTTCTGCCAAAAAAAAAGTGACAAGTGTTGCACAGACTGGGAGCCTGTAACTCAATTGAAAACAGAAAATGATTGGATGCATTCTTGTTTGTCTGCAGATTAGGGTTTCACACAAGAACAAAATGGGAAAAATACTGTCTTTAAGAGGTCCTTTTTTATGATATACAGTGCCTCACTTAACTACCGGGTTTATATGATTGATGAACTGTGAAACAGTCCATTAGAGGTTGAGAGGTCATGTTGCAATGTTAAAACATTACTTTGCCATTATATACACCTTTGATGCAGAGTGTGCAGTACTACCTCATCGCTATGGGAACGGCTGTTCTCTTCCAGCTCCCTGAAAGGTCATTATGGGATGGGAAAGCCCAGTTGACCCAAGGCAAAGTACATCATTTGTCTTTTAGCACCAAGAGAACACACCTAACAAAGCAGGCTGACCACTACTAGAACGCTGAGGATTTGGGCGTTTTTTTTAAGCCACGTAGGAATTTGCCATTCACTGAAGTCAGCTGTTTTTATTGTTTTAGACAAACATTCTACTTATTTTAATCTTTAGTGACTTTATTGTGTGTATTATTGTCTCTTTATTAAGGCTATGAAATGTGAATATATAGCGTTGGTTCTTTGTATCATTAGGGAAGGAATGTTTGACATAACTACTTTTAATGCAAAGATTATAAAACTAATATGAAGGAACATTTAAGAAATCACTAAATCCAAAATCCATTTACTTTAATTCAGATAGGCCTCTGGTACTGCTTGCCATATATGGAAATAGTGATGTAGTGAGCTGTCACCTTCTATAGAAGATCTCTGATGGTGAGATGTGACCCCAGGGGCATTCTGGGATTGGGTGGGCCTGCCGATTCAAGTGCTATGAGAGATGCTAGGAAAAGCACATTACTGTTCCTGCGGTTCTGTAATAAAGCTGCAAAAGACAAGTCAGGCCTCCATTGCCATCATTTACACTGCTCTTTTATTTTATTTTCCTTTTACCCTTTTCTCTTTCTTTCTCCTTTTCCTTCTCCCACTCCCGCTTCATC